ACCGGGTCGGAGGGGAGGACTGGACGGCACTGACGCTCCTTGGCGGCTGGGGCTCCGTCTGGTCTGCTTCTCGCTCACTTGTCTGGGATGGTGGCCCCCCTGAGGGCCTGGCTCCTGATGGGAGGAAGGCAGGGGTCAGGCCCAAGCCAGCCCCCATCTGGGGCTAGATACTGCTCCCCGCACCCTGGCACCTCACCGCTACTGGGGTTCTCTCCCCAGCCTGGGCTGTGAGATAAGCTTGGGATGTGAATGGAGAGGCTCTGATTCCCACACCTTCTCCCTAGCCCCGCCCCTAAACCCTAGCCCCGCCCCAACCTCCCAGCCACGCCCCACTTCCCCAGGCTGTCAGCCCTTGGGGTGGGGGTCCCACAGCAGCCAGCCTCCAGGTCCTGCCACTTCCTCACCGCTACCTGTGTGAACACACAGTGGGGCAGACTCCTGCCCCACCGAAGCAAAGATATCACATGGAGTTCTGAGGAGTCTATTTAAATTATTTCCCCACATTATTGCCTCAAATAGCAATTCACATTCTCTGATTTCTGTTTTAAAACCTAAGTCAATTTCATTCAAACATCTTTTTGAGGGAGGCATAGTAAGTTCCATATTTAAATAAATAAATAAATAAATAAATAAATAATTTCCCCAAACAAGAAAGCATGCATGCATGACACCAAAGTTGACTGCAGAAGATGTCTCATTTACAGGGCCTCCCACATCTTTCCCCAAACAAGCAAAGCATGCATGCATGACACCAAAGTTGATTTCAGAAGATGTCTCATTTACAGGGCCTCCCACATCCTCAAATACTAGTGACACCCCTCACTTCTAAATAGTAACAGTTGCCCCTCGCCCACCTGTGAAGAGGCACTGAGAGGACACAGGTGTGCAAAGGCCTGGGCGCGGGACCAGGGCTGGCAGGGCTCTGGGGCCCATGAAGCTCCCAGACAGAGGCTGCCGCCATTCAAGCCCACGCCTGGCTCCTCCCCTCCCCACCTCACTCTTGCTCGCAGGCTGTGGTTGTAAACCAAGCCATGCCTCCAGACTGTCCGGAGTGTTTGCTCTGCAGCTTCCCTCTAATTGGGCATTAATTAGGCATGCGTTAATGGATCCTTAAAATAATTTATTTTCGGATGCGTCCAGCCTGTGGTTGGATAATAGCCCGTGCTCATTATCGGAGCAGCCTCATTATGGACGGTAGTCATTACTTGCCTTTTTCCAGGGTGGCAGCTGCCCCTGGCAGCCCGGCAGGCGCGCCGGTGTTGGGGGGACCGGCTCCAGGCTCCTCACTGCCCGGGTTGGCCTCCTGCCCTCCCCTTCCAGCTTGGCCAGCCCAGCCTCTCAGGAGAGCTGGGGGCCTGGGGCAGCTCTGCCGCTAGCTATGCCCAGAGTGTGCAGAACGAGAGAACCAACCCTCCCAGCCACTGTCCGGCAGGTCCTGCTCCCATCCTCCTGCTGGCCGCCCAGCCGGCTCCCAGGCCTGCCTCTGCCCCCTCTGCCTGCCCAGGCTCAGGCAGGCCCCTCCACCACTGCCACCCCTCATTTCCGGCAGAAATGGCGTCGTAAATAAGTGACAGCTCCCAGCTGCTGGGAGTTATGGTCTCCCAGAGAGTGGCAGCTGCTTCCCGTCCCCCTGTAATCACCCGGCTTCGACCTAACGTTTCCAACACATAAAAGTCATTGCACACAATTTGGTTTTTGCATAATTGGGTTCAGTTATGACTTCAGAGCAATTATGACCTCTGTGGTGCTGGTGTGGTGGTGGCAGAGCAGCTGTGGGGACCCTCTCAGGGCCAGGCCATGCTCATCCTCTGCAGCCCTGCAGTGCCTTTAGTCACCGTGACCACTGGGCAGCCTGCAACCTGTAGGCCAGGCCCAAGGCTGGCACATCTCCTCAGCCTGCTTCCCTTTTGTAACATGAGTCAATGACCCCCATGCCAACCATGTGGAAGCTTGGATCTGACTTCCAGCCCCCCACTTCCCACCTCAGTCTGGCCCGGGGATCCTAGCCCCACAGGAGAGATAGGAGGGTGAGGGCATAGGAACCTGGACCCCAAAAGCCAGCTGACTCTTGCAGAACCTGCTTGCTGCCTTGAACCTCCAACACCCAGGGCTGGGAGGAGGGCCCAACCCACATTGGCTGCACCTTCCAGAGCCTGACACTCCCTTTCCCTTTGCTCAACTCCACTGACCACCCCTGCCCAGGCTGCTGTCTTCCAGGGACCTTGCCCCAGGGAGGCAGCCCCCACCCTGACCCTTGGAGGGAGCCCAGGTTCCCCTCCTAGCTCAAGGGAGTTCACGAAGCTCACTGTGCTGAAGGGGCGGGGCCGTGGCCATGAACCTGTGCTTGGAGGACACACAGGGCCATACCAACCGCCCCATCTCAAGGGTTCTGCAAAGACAAAGGCATTTCCTTCCCTAAGCTGCTCACCATGGGGATGGGGTGAGCTTGGGCAGCTAATGCCACTTGACATTTGTGCAGCTTATGGAGTTGACAAAGCGCTTCTGCTCGAGCTCTCTGGTCCTCGGGGTTACCCTGAGGGTGGGGGTGAGGGTTTTCCTGCCCCATGACCTGGGGGGGTGGCGGCGGTATAGACAGCCCTTCTGCCTGCTTTTGTGACCCTGTCTTTTTAAGGTTCTGGGATGGGGTTATCTGAAATGATCCCCAGAGAAGCTAAAGGGGGGGGCACAGAGAGCAACACCTCTTCCTCAAACAGGTGCCTCCAGGGGATGTTGGGGGCACAGGGGAAAACCGGGTGAAGACACTGGTTTGGGTAAAAAAGCCAACTGCCCCCAAATCTAGGTGTGAGCTTAGCAGCCGGTACGTGAACACACTTTGGCAGGTAGGAGGGGGTCAGATAACAAGGGGTGGGGTGAAGGCAGGACTCAGGGCAGGAGCCACCTTGCCTGTCCTCTTGGGAGGGGCCAGAAGGAGGTAGGAGCCCAGCCAATGCGTGGAGCTGCTCTCCATCCTTCGTCACTGCTCAATGCCAGGGAACCCATACCACGGAAGTGTCCCCGTCCCCCTGGGCCCTAGAGTGGCTCTCGGCTGAGTCTGCTTCTCCACTCCGGTCCCATCTCCAAGGCCCTGGACCAGCCCTCCCGGCCAACCCCACCTGCCTCCAGCACCCCTGCCTGAGCCCGCGGGTGCTCTGGCCCGGGATCGTCATCTTGCCGGGTCCTTCCCAGGGGGGCTGGCATTACATGGCTGAGGCTCCTGTGCGCCCTCCATGTGGCCCATGGGAGCCCAACCCACTGACTGCTGATTAATGCACTAACAAGGAGGCCCGTACCTTTGCTGTGCATTTTAAGATTGCAAATTACTAGTAGCAGGGATCCAAGTCTCCGGGGAGGAGCCTTGCACCCCCTCCCATCAGCCTCCTCAGCCCCCTTCTGGTAAGGCAGGGCTTCCTTTGCCTGAGGGGGCTGAAAAAACCAAGGCTGGGTCTCCCCCACTCTCTGGCCTTCCTCAGGCTCTCCTCCCCTCCTCCTCCTCATCCTCCTCCCCCTCCTCCCCCTCCTCTTCCCCATCCTCTTCCCCCTCCTCCCCCTCCTCCTCTTCCTCTTCCTCCTCCTTCAGGGGCATGCACCCAACTGACTGCTTTGCCAGCTGCTCCCTAGCCTCCTGGTCTCCCACATCTGAGCTTACCTGGATCTCTGCAGCCTCATTCATTCCTCCCTCCATTCACCACTTACTGCCAGATACATCCAGATACCTGGGCCAACTGGGCGAGTCCTCCTGGACTGGCAGATAGGGGGTCTCATAACACTAGGCAGTCTGGCCAGGTGCTGGGCCTAAAATAGGCACCTAGGGGTGTGTAGGAGGAGTGGGGAAGTTCAGGGAAGGCTCCTGCTGCCCCACGTCCCCTCCTCCATGAAGCCCTCCGTTCCCCTGCCGGCAAAGAAGATGTGCAGGAATGAAAAGCAGGCATTGTTTTCATGTCCTCCTTCCTGCAAAACCCCCAAACCCTTCACCTGTTGGGGCAGAGGTAAGTGAACTCATCCAGTCCCCTCAGCAGCCTGTTCCTAAGATGGGCTTATGAACGGTCCTGTGGGGGCTGGGTGTGTTAGGATGGGTGGGAAGGGCATGTGCAAAGGCACTGAGGTAGGGAAGCAGGCCCCCATCTTACCCTGCCCCTCTCTCAGCCTCTCAGTAGCCAGAGCTCCCAGAGAGGCTGTAACACCAGCTCAGCTGGGCTGGGACCAGCTCCGACTCCAGTCCAGGTTACATGGCCAGTGGGGCAGGTGGCCCTACACCTCCTCCCGACCCCCCGGCAGCAGGAAGGGAGCTAAGCAAGGCAGACCCAGCCCTCAGCCTGTGCCAGGCTCTTTACATGGACTCCTCACAACACCCCGTGGGTGCCGTGCCATTTCACGGCGGAGGACAGGAAGCACAGAAGGAAGTGGCTGGCCAAGGCCACACAGCTGGTGAGCCACCCACCTGACCCTGACTCCAGAAGCTCCATGCTGCCTGGGAGGGCACGGCAGCCCCATCTTTAAGCCCTTTCTGACCCCAACATCTCCGGCCTCCCACTGACCTAAGTCTGATGCCACCTGGCTCCAAAGGGGCTCCCCTCCACACACCTGCCCAGGAACAGCCCATGGGGCTGCATCCCCATGGTCCCCGGCAGGTCCACAGGGCTCCTGAGTCTTGGAGACCGAGAGCCATGAGGTCAGTTCTTCTGGCTCTGCACCCCCCACCCGCCCTGTACAGGCCAGAGCTCCCCCACCCCCAGCCTTGCCAGATGCTCCTCTCTCAGCCAATCGATGCTAACCGAATGGCTCTTGTGGTCAGATAATGGCCTCAGGCTGGGCCAGCTATGTTCACAGAGCTACTGGCGCCCAGGTCACTTGGCGCTGTCCCTCTGTGATGCACCCAAACACAGGCCACTTCCTGGTGGGCATCCCCCCACCACCT